AAGAGTAGTGGAAATCTAATTAAGAATATAGTAGAGGCAGCGTTAGAAGCATCCTTATAGTTCTGTGCTTGAGGTATTCTTGTGTTCCATCAAAAACAAGTGAAAAAACAACTTCCTAATCAAGATGACCTTTTTCTCTGGCAGGACTCTCAAATTTTAAATCCCTCAAGGCAAACAGAAAGAGTTACAGTGATGACAAAGATTGGTATTACCTATTGAATTTTGTCAAGACTCAAGTTGTTTTCAGAACAAGAGATTTCCCCAGCTGATGTCTAGCTGTGCTGACATAGATCTGAATAGCTCTCAACTTCTCCCTTAAATAAAGCCTCAGCCTACTTGTTGAAAAGGGAGTTGCAAAGACTATGCATCCTCTAACGTCTGACAGCTTAATTCTCCTATTCAGGATGGCATCCAATGTCCATCTTTTCCATAGCTGTTGTGCAGTTATGTGCCTTGTTTTTCCTTAAGTCTGGGCATTCTGAAATCAATCTCTGGGAAAATTCTGAAGCTGTCAGTCTGCAAATGCCTTGAAAGCAATGCAGTGATTAATAGAAGCCAACGTGGATTTCTCAAGAACAAATTCTGCCAGACTAATCTTTGTTTTTGATTGGGTAACCTCCTTGGTAAATGGTATGAATGCTGTAGACATAATATATTGTGACTTCAGCAAAGCTTTTGACAAAGTGCCCCATGATATCCTGATTAGCAAACTAGCTAAAGGGGGGCTAAAAGGAACAACTGTCAGGTGGATCCACAGTTGGCTACAGAAATGGACTCAAGGAGTGCTCCTCAATGGCAATTTTTCAAACTGGAGAGAAGTAAAGAGTAGGCAACCACAGGGTTCAATTCTGGGCCTAGTGTTCTTCAACATTTTTGAGGAAGTGTAGCAAATGCTTATCAGATTTGCAGATGATGCAAAACTGGGCAGGATAGCGAACACCATGGAAGACAGAAATTATCAAGCAATCCTGATACTGGAGCACTGGGCTGAAGGCAATACAATGAAATTTAATAGGGACATATACCATGTTCTGCACCTAAGAAAAAGAAAACCAATGCATCATTACAAGATGGCAGATACTTGACTAATAATACTACCAGTGAGAAGGATCTTGGAAATTTTGAAGATCACAGGATAAATAGGCATCAACATTGTGATGTGGCTACAAAAATGGCAAATGCTATTTTGGGCTGCATTCATAGAAGTATTACTTCCAAATGAGATGAACTACTAGTTCCCCTCTACTCAGCACTGGTTAGTCTTACCTGGAATACTGTGTCCAGTTATGGGCATCCCAGTTTAAGAAAGATGCAGACAAACTGGAAAGGGTTCGGAAGAGAGCAATAAGGATGATCTGAGGATTGGAAACAAAGTCCCATGAGGAAAGATTGAAAAAATTGTGCATGGTTAGCCTAGAGAAGAGAAGACTGAGGGGAGATATGATAGCACTCTTCAAGTACTTGAGAGGTTATCACACATAAGGCCAGACTCTCTTCTGAAGTATCCCAGTGTGTAGGATACTTGGAGTCAAGTTACACAAAGCCAGATTCTGGCTGAATATCAGAAATACCTGGGTGCTAGAGAGATATGACACTGGAACCAATTACCCAGGGAGGTTGTGGGCTTTCCCACACTAGAGGCATTCAGGATATAGCTGGATAGCTGAGAGGAATTGTTTAACTAGGAGCCCTGCAATGAGCAGGGGGTTGGACTGATGGCCTTCTTGGTTCCTTCCAACTCTACTATAATTCTATGAGAAAAGCAGAGAGTTAACCTGTACAACTCATCTTCCTCAACCCTGAGATAACTCAGTTTCCCAGAACAGAAGCAGCCTTAATGCGGACCCCCCCCCTTTTTTTTTTAACCAAAAGTAGCCCTGTTGCTGTTTCTCCTGTGCCAGAAAAGCTCCTCTAAAAGGCTGGCCTTTTAGACTAGACCAAAAGTTTTGAACCTGACATGCAGGCCAAATCTGACAAACCTAGGATCTCCAGGAACATGTGCTATTCCCCTCAGCCCATTTGTTTATTCATTCATTTATACATTTCTATACCATTCATTCTCCAAAGCCCCTCTGATTCCTTGGATTTGCCATGGTTTAAATTAACTACTTAAGATTTAAGTAGCAGTCCAAGCCATGTTTAGGCAGACACAGTCCTTCATGATAAAACTGGAAGACTTTTTTCTATCTAAACATGGATAGGATTATACCTTTAAATCAAAATATGCTGGGATGTTTGTCATTTTGATCCCACCACTTTTGCCTTAAGCCCTACCCACCATGGAATGTGCTCTCCTCACTCAAAAGCTTCCCCCAAATAGAATTCATCCCTCTGCTGAAAGAGGTTCAACACTACCATTTGAGAAGATTTCTCAGAAATATTGGGCAGTTTGGTGACCATCCTTGATATTATACCCTTGTAGCAATCAGAAAGGATTCCTACTTTAAAGGAAGTAACATCCACCTGCCAATTAAGAAAGATGCAAGAGTCTGAATGTATGAAAAATAACAGTAACATTTTAAAACTTATATGTAAATTCAATTTATGTTTCATGTTTCTTTCTTCAGGCATATGATTCACACTTCACAACTTCCTCTTTTGATATTCACCTAATATGCTTAAATCCAAACCATACTGATCTTCAGATGGTGGGTTAGGAACCACTACTGAATTGCATCCTGATCTAAGCACAGTTGGAACATCAGCACCATAACCTTTAACTTTTTGGTAAAATATTAGAAAGTGAGTCCCAGGTCTAAAAGGGTTTTAAAGCAAATTAACTAAAGTGTGAGGAAACCATTTTGGCCAAAGCTTCTTTCACAGTCCCTTTGACTTGCCTTCTGAAATTCAATAAAAAATGTAACTCTCATTTATCCTGCCCTTATCACATCCTAGGGCAGATCAGGAAACTTCATCTGAAAGTCCAGAGTTGCAGATCAGGAACAGGTGCCTGGGGGAAGGGCTGTTTTTCATCTTGAAAATTATTTGGGTAAAGGAACAAGGAGGGTGCATCCAATTTTCAAGAGTTGGATGATACAGCAAGTGGAAAAAGTAGAAAGAAAATTACTTTTACTGACAAAAATAAAACATTGTCAATAGAGCTAGGGCATGTTTCACTTCAAGGGGAAATTAAATAACATGACTTTATTAGAAAATTGACATGGATGAATACTAGATGAGTTAGACCAAAGGAGAGTTAGAAGAATCAAAAACAGTTTTCTCTAACTTTCCAGTTGTATTGGACTACAGCTCCCAGAAATCCCCCAACCAGTTTGCTAGCTGGGGAATGCTGAAAGTTGTACTTCAACACATCTGTGGAGTACAAGGCTGGAGAAGGCTACTCTCAGATCACATTAATTCTGATACAGAAACCTGATAGCACAGTTGCCAACGCTGATCTTGGATACTGGCTAGATAGAATTGGTACACAGGGTGATGCCCGTCTTGGGGACTGACCTGCTGTTGTCCGAGGAGGTAGTGACATGGAAACTGAAAGGAGAGCGGGAACCTGTTTTTCCTTGTGTTCTGTAAATGACAGCTGAGACTCCTGAGGGGAAAAGGAAATTGCCAAACAGATAAGAGAGGCATCCAGATCCCTTCTCCCACAGAGTGCTTGGAGGCAAATTGAAATAACTCTCTCATGATGAGAAAGCCATTTGAAGCAGGCCGTCTTGTTGGTTAGGCCTTTATGATAACTCTAGTGCCAAGACTCACAAAACAGGGTCAACTCTGTTGGTTCCAGAATTCCCATGAAGTGTCTTGCTGTTGGGGATGGCAGGCTGAGACCCTAATCAGAAGTAATTTTCTCCATTTTTTTTTAAATTCTTGTTTGGAAACCTGATGGACAGGCAGCCATACAAAGGAGGCAGATTTGGCCCAATGGCCTCCACTTGAAGTCTCTAAATATTGGTTCTAGGAGGTTGGCTGCTAGTGGAACCATCAAGCACCAACAGCCATCAATTCCCAACTCCTTCAGGTGCAGCTTTTCAGGAGGTCCACATGCCAGAACAGAGATAACATCAGGTTCTTCCATTACCCCCCTTTCCCAATACATTTCCTGCCTTAATCTAGGCTTAATCTACCCTTAATCTATAGTTGGACTGCTTTATTGTCTTGTTATCAACCATTGCAATTAGGGGATCAGTTCTCAAATCTGGTCTACTTATCTGATAATTTCCTGGCAAAAACAAAGCTCTTCAACTTTAACCTTCCTGTATGCAATGAAAGGATCAATTCCCAAAAAGAACTGAGGAATCTATATGCAATATATAGAGACACACATATCAAATGGAGCAGAGAGTTATCAGGGAATGGAATGTTTACAAAGAGATTCCTTTCCTCTAGTGAAAAGGCTTTACCTTAGGATTATCAGAGAAGCTTCATAGTTCAATAAGATCTCTGATTCAAGTCCTATCATCGTCAGAAAAAAGAAAATAGCCAGACTGGAGAAAATTTCTGGGTGGAACACTGGAAAACTGTTGTTAATAATATACAGCATGCATGGCAGATATCTAACTTTCCCAGCTGGATGAAAATAAAAACGTGGTTTGGAAGCTGAGTGCTAACTGTGAAATCGGCTAAGAAAGTGCATTTTGGGGATACTTTTTTTCCTCCGCTAAGGAAAGCGCTCTGATCTTAGAATCAGTGTTGAAGATAAACTACTCTTCTTGAGAAGACCGCCAGGAACGATGGTTAAAAATAATAGTAATAAATATATGCATTTTCCCCTCTGGTGGATTGCAGGAGCCAAGGAACAGCAGAGAAATCTGGGGCCAGCTCCTGTCTTACAATTAGGCCGGTCTACAAATCTTCAGAAGTTCAGCGAGCGTCTGGGCGGGCTCTTCGGGCTTCTCCGCCCTGGGGAGGCGCAGCAGTAGCAGGTAAGAGCTCCCGGAGTGGAGAAGGTGGGAGAAAGAGAGGCGCAGTTCCTTTCCCGGCCGGCCGGCCGGCGCAGAAAGTGCAGCTGATCCTCCTCTTCCCCCGCTTTGAAAATCCAGGCCATGGGGGAGACCTTCCTGCGGTGTCCGCTGCGCACGCCGCGTGGCCCGTTTCTGGTGTCGCTCCCGCCGAATGGCGAGTTCCTGCAGGGCACTCCGGAGCAAGTTGGCCGGGCCAGTGGTGAGTCCCTGCCGCTATCCCGTCCCGTTGCGCGTTCAGTGGAGCTAGAAGCGCGCTCCCGCGACCTCCCGGCGTCCATAGTGCGCCGCCTGGGATTCGAAGCGCGTGCCTGGGGACCCTGCTCCACATCGACTGCCTTGGGAGGAGCCCCTTTCCAGATCTGAATGCGAGTTGCGGGAGCCTCCGCCTTCAGGGTTCGTTCCACGGCCTCTCCAGGAGTGGTGTCTCTGCGCACGGGCTGAATGCAAATTGCTCGCCTCCGTAGTTGGCATGCTTGCGCATCGTGCTCAGCCATGATGGCTTTCGCACGTTCTGTCTGTGGAGTTGAGGCAACTTCGGATAAGGCAAAAAGAGTCAAACATGCACGCATTCTAGGGTCCATCAGCAAAATGGGCAGTGAGGTCAGTACAAGGGAAGAGAGCCTGGCAGCCCTTTGCAGATTTCTCAATCTGTGAGGGGGCCAAGCTGTGGCTACAGCGCAGGGCTGTTATACTGGATTACTGCAATGTGTTCTGCGGGGAGGTTCCACGAGCCTGAGGCCAGAAGCTGCAGCTGGTGCAGGATTCAGTGGTCCGGCTGCTGAAAGAGGCTGCCAGTAAGCTACCGGCTACGTTTAAGGGATTAAGGTATAATGTTATAAAGAACGTGGCCCTGGGTCACCCTAGGGAGTGCCTCACCCCTCACGAACTTACACTTTATGCTCTTCATCAAAGGAAGCCCTTCGGTGGGTGCCCCATGTTCCTCAGGTTCACCCCAGCAGTCCTTAAAGTGGAGCATTAAGAGTCACAGCTCCCATCCTTTAGAATACAAATGCCTGGTGTTCATTATGTAGCCCCGGCAGAGCCGGCAAGCCTTTTCACAAACTTCCTGAAATGTGACCCAGCCAACTGTGGCCTGTAGTGCACAGTAGTGTGTGTAGTTTTGCCACTATTTAGCCTGTGCCATTTATTGTTAAAGTTTTCCATACTGATGACATTGTACATTCATTGTGCTGATAACTGTGCGAAGCAGGACATAAACCTGGGCCATAACTAAATAAATGATATAATTTGGGTTTGCTGGCAATTTTGCTCTTACCTTATAGCAGGTCAGACAAGCTGTCCTTCTAGAGCAGTGGTTTTCAACTTCCTGTTGGTCCGTGGGGGTGGGGGGTGCATCACCTCTTCCTCGGTTGGCATTGCATTCATAGGCAGTGCGCTGGTTCCACGGGAGGACCAGGGAGGGGAGAGACAACCCAGTGGGAGCCAACTGAGAGCCATGCCATGCCAATTGCAGTATTTTGTTCTCTTTTTTTCGGCTTTTCTGTTTCTTGGTTTCTCATTGTTTTGGAGAATTTATTTTTATGGTATTGTGTTTGGACAATATACAGAACACTGTATTATGTGTATGGTGATTTTTGTTTCTGCCTCAGTGGTCCCGGAGATGGTTTTCCTGTTTTTGCCAGTCCCCAGCTGTGGAAAGGTTGAAAACCCACTGCTAGAGGAGCAGTGCTTACTCAGACTCCCAAATGCCTCAGATTCCCATTAGTTGCTGTTGAATCCTCTCGGGGGGGGGGGGACCCTCGAGATATTCAGCATGGGAGGGATTGAACGTCGGACCTTCTGCATGAACTGTACTGCTGGGAGACAGTTCCGTGGCCAGCACCCCCTTCCTCCACTTGCTTGGCTCCCTGCTTGGATGTCTTTGATACTGACTGCTAAAGAGGATGCCAGGCTAAATCACTAGGTCATGCTGGGCATGAAAAGACAGCAGTTGTCCATCCTAGCGTTAAGACCAAAGAGAGTGCACAAGCGGAGAGCAGCAGAGGGCTGCCACCCAGATGACCTTTGCACAATAAGTCATCCACCAAATGGGACTACTTTGAAAGGTTGCTGAGACCTTAGGTGCCTCAGTGCTTTGAATTTTTCTCTTAAGTTTTTCTCTTTCATTTCCTGCATCTCACACAATCCAAGTGAGAAAAATACAAAACCAAATATGAAAATAGCTCACTTCCAGTTGTACTTCCAGATGGAGGAGGGCTCCTTGTACTAGCAATTAGAAGTCATTATGCAGCTGTTATATCTTTTACTCCTTAATGGTTTTTCTGTGGGCAGGGGATAAGAAGCAGTAGAAAACAAGGGATGATCACAAGTGGAAGACAATAACAATATCTCCATAAGCCTTGGTGGGTGTGACAGAATGATGCCAATTTGATGCCAAGTTCTTAATCTGAACTTTTAGCTATTTCTCTTAATTTTTTAAAATCATGTTTACGTCATCAAAGGTCAGACTTCATAGCTAGAGATTTACGCAAAGTATGTTCACACATTTGCTACTGGATATCATCTGGAAACTAATCAGTTATGTATTGTGGCAGTCTTGGACATAAAATTAGAATTGCTAAAACAAGTTTCTTCTACTTTGTACAAAATTAGCCATTGAGTAAATGCTTTATTTGATCTTAAGAATGTGGACAATCACATTATAAAGAAGTATTCCTATCCATTTGGGGAAGGGAGCAGTTGAGAAGAAATGTGTTTTTGACAAAATATCTAGAAAATTCATAGCTCTCAAACCATAATTAATCGTTGTTTCTATTATTAAGCCATTCTCCCAAAATTACAAGCTTTGTGGTCCCCACCAAAGAAAAAGCACCTAATCACATAAGCACTGCCACAAAAAATTCAGGATATGTTTCCCTTTCCCCCTTTTTAAATATTGAAATAGGACCATTTCTCAATATAACCGAGATATACAACCTCAGTCCTGTGAACCCAGACAAGCCTGCCAGTGTCCCAATGACCATATCCTACCTGCTCTCCCCTAATCATCACTTGGTAGTTTTCTAGCCTTTCCCATTCCAAAGGGTCGAGAGCTTTTCTGAAATTAAATGCAGTTGTTAGGTTTGGCAGCCAAGCTTAAAAAAAGCAAATTATTCAAGGAAATTAGTCATTAAACACAGAGACACACTCATCATGAAAACAAAATGAACACTGGAGTGATTGAAAGAGAATGCAAGCTAAGTGCTTCTGGATCAGGCCAAGCATCCAGCACCTCTGAGAAGTTAATGAGTCATGAAAGCAATTGCCCTTCCCCATAGCTTGTTCCTGGTATAGTGCATCTGAACACTGTGGCTCTGGTTAGCATTGATAAAGCAGGCTTTTCAAATAGAAATGAATAGTCTAATTTCTAATCAGTGTCAGCAACACTAACAAGAAAGAACAAAAGTGGCTGAGACCACAAAAGAAGTGTTTATTTAAAGGAACAGTGGTTCTGAAAATGTTTAGAACTGGACTTCAGATACTGGGCAGGCCAGTGCTGCAGCTGCATTTCAGGATGAGAACAACCTAATCCCTGCAATTTAAGTCTCCAAAAAAGAGAAGCAAATAAATGGAGAACACGCTACTAGAACAGGCCAACAAGAATATTGTCTGGATGACCAATGAGAAAGTTATTGCACAAGGAATGACACTTTCAGAAAAGAGGGTTACTGTGGAAACAATCTTGGGATGCTTCCCAACAAGGCTTCTTCTGTGCCCTGCCTCTTTCACATAATTTTAGGTAGGGGAGGAATGTCTTTTTCCCTTTTAGCCTGTAAACTGCATATACACTTTTGTGGTTGAGGAGTTAAAAATAAACTGTAGTTGTGCAGCTGTAGAGGAGCCCAATGAGAACAGTACTGCTCACCTCAGCCAGCAGGGCCTCCTGAGCCTCTATGCAGCATTTTGAGGGGCTGATGTGGGAAGAAGGAGGCGGATAAATCCATTTTTCTCTCCCTCTGAAGCATGTTTTGTATAAACAAATTTAAAAGCTCATAATTTTGTCTTTCAAAAGACTGCAAACCAAATGAACTGTCCCTCCCTTACTTCATGCACCCAGGCTGAGTACAGGCCTAGATTTAACCCAATCATAGTAACAATTGTTGATTAATTGTAATATTGACTACTTGCGCCTAGCTAATGACTGCACCATCCATTAAATGCACCTAGTCTTGGTTAATATTTGCCCAGCTTTTGCCAATAAAAAGGGTGGATTATATCCATGCATAGAACCAAACTAACTTCCTCACCTGGGTTAATAATTTAACTTGGTTGAATATGGAAAGAATGCATACGCAGGCTAGAATAATTAAAGGCAACATAGGGTCAGGAGGTACATGTGTATATGTGCGTATTTGAACTCACTGAGTGAAAAGCAATGAGTGAAGCCCATTAGAGCTTATCAGGAGTTTGATTTTATTTCAGTGGGGCTTGCTTGACCAGGAGAGACTGTGCCCTTGGCTTGTATTTTATAAAAAAATAAACCTAGTTAAGCCACCCATGTCAGTATATTGACTTTCTATCCTTTATTAAGCCAGTAGATTTCTGTGGTAACTTCTCACGTGCTAATTCTCATTTAGAGGAGGGTAGTGATTATTTACGTGCTTATAGCTGATATTTAAATACTGCCTTATTTGCTTTTTAAAAAATCAAGATGGTGCACGCAGCAGTGTGAATCAGTAACACTTTAAAAATGCAATCCTATGTAAGTTTAGACAGAAAAAACTCCCACAGCTCCCAGCATGCCATAGAACTACACACTAGGTTATAAAAAAATAAGAACATTTAAACCACTGGCATTAAAACTCTTTCAGGCCACATTCAATTTTATAGAATTTCTTCAGGACCACATTCCAGTGGTGAGTGGGGGCAAAATATGAAAAATGTTTTAGCTTAAAACTCTGACTGCCAGTAAGTAAGCCTTAAAAGGGGAATTTCTACTTTTTTAAATGGGAAGAAACATGCAAAAACTGGGAATCCATCATATGATTATTGGTGGGAGGCAAGGAGAAGGTGGCATTGCTATATGGGGATTCTCAGACTGTCAAATTGGGAACTCCTGTGGAGCAGATGTGACCCTCAGGCTTGAAGTCCTGCAGTCCCATTTTAAAGCAGTAAAACATTAGATTAAAGGCTGAATTATAAACATGTCTTCATACCCTTTCTAAAAGCCAAGAGAGTGGTAGTTCTTGAGGAAGTATA